TAATATATAATTATGCTGGTTTTATTTTATTATTGAACTTAAGAAATAGTATTTTCTAAATGAGTTCATAACTTACGAATTAGTTTAATAAATCACCACCATATAATATTGAAACTTAAACATTAAACATACATTAATTATCGTGGCTGCTGTAATCGACATTTTCATAAATATTCTATAAATCGAATATAATTATAATCGTATTAAATATATATCTTATCTCATATTCAAAAAATGTCCAATAGAAGACCATTAGATGTCTAATATTGTGTGTTTAAAAATCATCAAAAGGAACTCACTGTATGTATAAATACAGGTACTTATATTATATTTTAGCTTTGTATCATTCGTGTAAATACTCAGCGCTGTAGTGATCGCCGTGCAGGACACGTTGAGCACAATCACAATTAATTATTTAATCGACGTAGCACGTCCTCGTCAGCCTTGAGATGTTGTGTTGAGAAATATGGGTAAATAATTGAACACTGGTTCGTATTATTATAAAATAAAACAATTTATTGTTAAACGTTAATCACAAATATATCATAAAGTAAACTGCCGTAAGCGTGTTAAGCCTTCGAGCAGTGCTGACTATCTTCTAAAACATATAGGTAAGTACTCTACCCGTATTTTATGCGGATTCTGTTGATGACGTATAATGTCATGATATTATAATATTATAATTTTACTTTTATTGCTAGATCGCATTATTTTGCGTAAAGGGGAAAACTACTTGTTGTTTTCACCTTTGATCTATTATTTCCTAATATGTAGGCTTTTAAGCATTTTACATATTCTATGTCTCATTACCTAATTATAAATTATACTACGAGTGTAATTTATTATTCTACATTGTATTTATAAATTTACATTATATAACATTGTAATTATTACATTATTGGGTTTACTATACAGCGCCTAGCTTTGGGTAAAAGGTACAAGTGAGCTTTGGTCTGGTAAATCGATACCTGTAACACAATATAATAATGGCATGCGATAAGAATAAATTGGTATGAAATCGCGACGTTTACGTATAATTCAATCGATCTGTATTTTTTAACGGAAGTATTATAATAGTATGTTATCCGACCGGTCGTATATATATTTATACTCACTTGACGACTACGTATCTCCACATGGCCAGGACGAGCGTGAGCGCAATGGACGTGGTGTGCAGGACCTGTGACACGTACGTGTGGAGCAGCACGTACACCGCGCCCACGTGCGAGAACTCCTCCTTYTTGGACGTGTTCAGGTACATGTAGCACGCGAACGGCGTGTACTCGACCATCAGGGCCAGGTCGGCCAGGGCCAGGCCGCACAGGATCCGGTTGATCGGCGAACCGGCCAGGTCCTTGCGCGTCAGCACCGCGATGTTTAGCGCGTTGGCCAGCGCGCCGAACACGCACAGGAACATGCTGACGTAACCGTGCGCCGCCCGGAACAGCAGCGAGTAGCTCTTCACGACGCCGCCACAGTTGTAGCAACCGGCGTCTGTCGGGTGATGACGGTACGACGAACCGTCGTCGTCAGGATCGAACACCGTGATGTTGATCAGGTACTGCAGGTCTTCCTGCGTCAGGTTCAGGCTGACCAGATGCGCCATCCACGTGTTATTCCTCGCCCTGATCGACGACATGTCCGTGCACATCATGATAGTCCGGCTGCATGCGCTGCAAAAACTGCAAATGTTATTCGCCACCGATGCCATTCGGAACATCATAACCACACGTATGTATGATCATTGTTATACAAGTACATATTTTATGTAGAAACAATAATATGGTGAATGGTACGTGTCGGCGCATCCGAGTTGGGTCCCGAGTATACTAGGGGCTAATCGCAGGTACTATACTAGTTGGGTCCCAGATTTTTATAGGTACTATACTAGTTGGGTCCCAGATTTTTATAGGTACTATACTAGTTGGGTCCCGAATTATTTTAGGTATTCCACTAGTTCCTGAATATTTTTTGGTAAGTACTACACTATACTAACATTTTCATTCCCGTTTTAACAGACTGTCTATGATCTATTTAGACCGCACAGGTAT